AATCCACCCCTAACATTCCTGCCCTTGTTTCTTATAATTTGTTCCATTTCCCTTGAATATCTCAACCTGTCTGTCTGTCTGTCTTCCTCCTCCTCCTCCTCCTCCTCCTCATCATCATCATCTTCATCATCATCATCATCATCATCATCATCGTCATCATCCACAAAATTAGCCTGTTTAGGAAATAAGAAGACGTTCTGTAGGTAGGCCAAGGCAGCCATTAGTCAGTAAAACTAAGTTGTACGTGCGACACGACAGTACTGTTATCTGTCTCTTTGATAGGGTAACAAAGTCCAAAGCTAATAATAATTAGTATCCCTCCCCCCCCCCCCCCCCCTGCCTGTATGAATACCTCCCCGATAAAGATAGATTTTTTATTGTTCCTCAAGCGTAGTAGTACGCGCCCCGCCATCTCGCAGGCAAGATAACCTCCCCAATTAATGATGTTACTGGTTTACCTATACATTTGTATTGCCTCTCTTTCTCTTCCCGCCCCCCTTTCTCCCTACCGCATTCTATCACATCCCTCCTCCCCCTCTCTCCCTCTGCGTGTTTGTGTGTTAGTTAGTGTGTGTGTTTGTTTGTTAGTATATGTTTTATCTTATAATAATATGTATGTGTGTGAGCGGTGGAGTAGCGTGTTTTTTATTCTTATTGATTAGTTTATCATTAGTTGGATTTCTTTGGGAAGAGGGAGGATGATATGGTTATACATGATTCGGTTTTCAAAAACTATATATTACACTTTATCACAGTCATAAAATTCTTTTTCGACAGATTTAGGAGGCGTCAAAGGTAGAACGTAGAAGTAAGGAGGGCGTAGGACTCTGGTTATCAGAAGTACTAAAGTGTAGAAGGAGAGCATGGGTAAACAGTGGGAAATCGACAACCCTCCCCCTACCCCCCCCCCCTACCCTTTCTCCCCGAATTCAGTGACTTCTTCGTTCTCTTGCTAAGGTTCTTAAAAATATTGTCGTTTTATTTTAGTAAGAGTTTTACGGCACTTGCAGCAACACAATAAGGTCATATAATAAGTGCCGAAGATTAGAGGTGCTACAAGAGAGTAACAAACATAAAAAAGGAGGAGCAGAGATCAGGACGATAGATGTTTGATAAGAAAGAACGAGCTAACCACACCAGACCACCCGCTAACCACCCACAAAAATATGATCGTATACGTTGTCTTTATACTGAATATTATTATGCAGAGTATGCCCATAGTACGGTCGAAATAGTCAAAGACGTCCATTCATTGTCGAGAAGAACAGTCGTTGTGTTAGACAGGTGGACCTTGGGCAGTGTTATTATAATATACATTTTTTTTAACGAAAGGGGGGATGTAGGAAGTGGTCGTTTTTACAGGTGATTGTCTTGGTCAGGTGGCCGTTTGAGCAAGTGGGTGTTTGGTGGGTGCTCCGGTGTGGTTTGCTTCTTCTTTCATATTCTATTGTCTTTATCTCCCCTCCTTCTTTTTTGTGTTTGTTGCTCTCTTGTAACACCTCTAATCTTTGGCACTTATTTGACCTTTTTGTGATGCAAGTGCCCTAAAACACATACTAAAACTGAACGTTAGAGCAAGAGCATGATCGACTGTAGTCTATATCAGTTGTTCTATCTTTGCTATGACATAGCTACAGACGCATGCTGCAGCGTTTTTGTATGTAATGTGTCACGATTTATCTCCCTGCTCCCGCTCCCCCTATCCCCCACCCCAGCACGCGCGCGCGCACACACACACACACACACACACACACAGACACACACACACACACA